AATTTATTAGAGCATAAGCTTTCGTGGAGTACAGCCCACTTCTTCGGATGCATATAAAATCGGGACATCTGGTTACCCTAAACTGATCTACCAGGGCTGACTCCAGGCACCAGCCCACCAAGCTTGTGCTTGGGGCGGCACCTGAAGGGGGGAGGCGCGGTGCTCCGGCTCCGGCCGCCGGGGAGAGCGGAGCCCCGGCCGGGGCTCGCCGCCATCCTCCCGGGGCTCCGGCCACCCTCCCCTGCCGCGCTGGGGGGGCGGAGGTTTTTTTGCCTAGGCGGCAAAAAAGCCAGAGCCGGCCCTGCTGATCACAGAACTAATCAGTGGTAGTTTGAGTAAACGTCCTTGTGACTTGATTCAGAGTAGCAGCCGTGTTAGTCTGTATCTGCAAAAAGAACAGGAGTACTTGTGGCACCTTAGAGACTAACACATTTATTTGAGCAGAAGCTTTCGTGGGCTACATCTGAAGAAGTGGGATGTAGCCCACGAAAGCTTATGCTCAAATAAATTTGTTAGTCTCTAAGGTGCCACAAGTACTCCTGTTCTTCTTGTGACTTGAGTACATCTGTTATTTGCAAACAAAGTCCAGACCAGTAATATAGATGCATACTTGGTGCATTTAAGAGGCCAGTTACATGAAGCTGAAAATAATTTGAGCCAAATCAGCTGGGCAGAAGAATTGAAATAGAAAAATGTGAATGAGAATTGGACATTGTTTAAGAACACATTAGTAAATGTCCAAAATTGTGATTATGTGGTTGTGAACAAGAAGGCCTGCTGGTTTAAACAAAATTGGTTGATGGCAGCTATATAAATCAGTCAATCAATCCATCTGTCAAATGCAAAAAGTGAAAGTTGATAGTTATACAAATAAATCAGGAGCTAAAAACTATAGAAAAGTGAAAAGTGAAGGACAGAAACACCAGGAGAAATCTATGGCAGCAGAGTTAAGGATGATACAGAGGAGTTATGAAGGGGTTTTTAAACAATATTAAGAACAAAAGAAA